ACACACACACACACACAGAATGCTTTACATTTTGCGTTGGTCGAAATTCCTAATAATGAAATATTTCACTTCTATTAATTTCGAACCGAATAATTCGATTTCATTTTCCGAGCAATTCGACTTTTTAAATAAAATTACTCCCACGCGTAGAACAACGCAAGGCAATTACTTATGCAATGCAAATATGAAAAATATGAAAAGAAGAGAGAAGAAAGAAGGACATTCTTTCCACATAAATCATCTTATCTATACCGATAGAGAAAATTTCCAACCATTCGATCGGCTATCTCTTTTTTTATAAATAAAAACATATTTCCATCCCTTGCCGTTCCCATACCGAACCGAATAAAATCATCCCTCGATCTCGAGCTTTCGGAAGTCGCGTGGCAATTTCTCCGCGAGCCAATTTCGAGAATCTTTTTTTCTCGTCGCGCACGTATTTATGATACAGACCATCAGTGTTGTCCGCGTGATAGACAGCAGGACATTTTCTGCAGTTTCGAGTTGCGACGTGTTCCTTTCGTCCCACGTAGTTCCCGGTGGTCCACGATCGGGATAGGGAAGAGAAAACGGCCACCCAAAACCCGTTTACTCGCAATCGAGATTAATTTATCGCGGTTTACTAGACAGATTTCTTCTCTAAAAGGGGGAGGGCAAAAAAAAAAAGCGAGGAAAGATTCGTCGCGTGTCACGAATAAAAATTGTAGCACGTTTATTCAATGCGCGCGTCGCGATGCTCGGCCACCGACTGTCAGCTGCGTCGCGACGGAACGTCGGCGCGATGCCCGAACACGTCCGAGAACGACCGAGAACGTCGAAACGACGCCCGGTGTGTCGACGACGATAAACACGATAAGCAACGCGTAAACTTCAAGGACTATCGCGACCAACAAGTTTTAAGGACTTTAAGGAATCGTCATCATGCTCATCGAATCGACCGGGATTAACTCCTTAGAGGGGTTAATTGGGAAAATAAAAAATTGGGGAGACGCGAAATAATTAAATTACTATATTTTGAAAATGAAATTTAATTCTTTGTTTATTCAATTAAATCATTAAATTGGATTGGATTGGATTTGGATATCGATGAGTTTCTAGCTAATTTACCAAGTTTTGTGGATATTCCATTATTGAAAATGATCTTGGAATTTTGAAGAATTTAAAAAATTTCAAAATGAATTTAAGTGTCTTTGACAGAGAAAGAAGAGAATTATGGTAAAGAGATAAATCGAATCTCAATAAAGAGATTAATAATGACCGTACAGATCAAGATACTGTCTGAAATATTTGGTGTATATTAATGAACTTCCAGCAATGGATAAGCTGTTTAATAGTAAGTACCATGATCTTCCAGAATAATAGTTTTAATTTAGATAATAATCAAACAATAGCTTCAGTTATCTATTCGTTATCTTATATGTTATAACAATTATTCGTTATATCGTATCAGTGAACTAATAATCCTATCTAAAAATCAAAGGAGTTGTATTATAAATTAAATGAAATACCAAATTAAATGAAATACTAATTATGATTGATTAAATTAAGATGAATTATATATTTTTTAAACAAATTGTGTTACTATGAAAACCATCTTCAATTGAAATTACTTTATCAATTTATACATACAAACTTTAAATTTATATCAATACTTTATAGAAATTTCTCTATTATTGTGATATATCAATTAAATTTAAAATCAAATCAAAGCATAAAAGATTTATCCTCATAAGTCTAGAGTTAATCAAACTGTTGAGTTATAAATCTATCAAATAAATCTTTTCATTTGTCGTAAATGTATAATGAAATTTCTTAATAGTATTCTAGTCTAAAATTTATAAATTCATTCAAGATAATATTGTAAAAATTGTAAAAATGATTGGAGAACAAAAATTGATATTTACAATAATAAAATTATATTTCAAAATATATCTTTTCTTTCTATGATATCTTTTAAATTATATCTTACATTCTTCTTCATTATTTTGAGAAACGAATCCCTTTGTCCAATATGCTGCATTGGCATTTCTCCTAAGTTCTCTTAAGAAAATCGTATCCCTGTCCAAAACACGACAAAAGCATTCACAAGTCGATCACTGCAGTTGTGAAGGGAAATACGTAGACATTCGATTAACCGCAATGCGACAAATCATTGAATCGTAAAAAAAAATCAAAACAGATATATATATATATATTTATATGAAAATATAAATGAGATTCATTGTTATTGTTGAGTAAAGTTGATTAAAAATATTTTAATCAAAATTTTCTAAACAAAAATATGAAGAAAAAAATAATAAGAATAACTAAAAATTGATTTAAAATCATTGCATAAACTTTGCAATTTCATTTATTATGAAATTTATAAATATATTTCTTGAACAATAGTTCATTTATATTTTCACTTAACGAATATTTTCTTTCTTACCATTTATAATGACATATCTCTTTGTTCTTTTTCTTTTCTTTCCTTTGCTACTAGTCGTCATCTTCTCAGTTATTTAATTACTGTTCCTAAGAGATAATCATTCTCTGGATCTGAAATAGAAAAAAAATAAAAACTTAATAACCATTAAGTTTTAACCATTTTTCTTTCTTATATAATAAAAATAATAATAAAAAAAAAAAAGATTAATGATTTGATATATAATTTAATATATATAAATATATATAATGTAATATAAATATATAATATATATTATATAATATAAATTTTATAGCATTCCATAATGAAGATATTTCACAATAAAGTATAACTTTTTTTAAATAAATTAAAAATTTAAATAATTTTTTTAAATGAATCATATATAAATTTTTTTATTTCATTGAATTATTAATTAATATTATTCTATGTACAAAATTATGTTAAATATAATCCATTATGAAAAATGCTACAAATTATAAATTAAATCTTACTTCAATTGTTTGAATATCTATATTTATAATATTATAATATGAAATTTTAATCTAATTATTCATTAGATTAAATTAATTTATTGTAAATGTATTTTATTCGTATTAAATTGATTCTTACATTATTATATTATGTAATACTTTTAAAAATTCTAGTTTTTCCTTTTTATTTTACATTATTATATTAATCCTTTTTATTATATTAATATATTTGTAAAGCTATTTATTTTTAATTTATTTTTCATTATGAGTAATAAGTGCTACATTCAATTGTGTTTATTTAATGAAAATTTATTTTATTTGTTATTCTAACTAATACGTAAAAATTCATGGATAACGCCAAAAATGTGACATATAATATATTTTCTTTATTGTATATATTAAATTATTCTTTTTACTATTTTATTTTACACATATGCATTTATAAATAAAACTAAATATAAATTTCACTATTTATTAATATTGAACCAACTAAATACTAATAAATATAAACAAAAAACAAAATTAATATCATTTTGACAATATTTGAATGATTTAAGAACGCCACCTGCATTACTGAAACATCGCAAATACTACGCAAACATTTGAACAAAATTTAACGTTTGTAAAGACTTTGCATGTAATTGTATATAAAATATAAATATTGTATAGTAACAATAAAACAAAAAAATAATTTAATAAAATAATACAATATTTAAAAAATGTAAAATTAATTTTTTAACCTATAGTAAAAATTTTAAAAAAATGCAAACTTAATAAGAATACCATGAATTGAAGGTATATTATTTTTTTTTTATTCACTCTTAATTATAAGAAATTGAAACTAGACACACGATTCATGTTTTCAAATTTTTACAGCAAAGATTAATCATTATGATTCACAAAACCCGCCATATTTGTGTTAAATCTATATACATATAAACGAAAAGTAGCCCTCTATTATGAAATACTACAACTAAAATAAAAGTATATATATATATATCTAGCTTAATATCATGGTGCGCCATCTATAGAATTCAAAATATGAACATAATATGCGATTTCTTCAAAATCAAATATGATTGCTTTATGATTTTCAATAATATAAAGAAAATATTATTATATATTTTCAATGAAATACTAATATAATTTTCATAAATCTATATGAATATATAATAAATGAATGAAAAGATTATGTTTTTAGAAAGATATCTACCATCGTTCCAATGGATGAACTGACCAGCAACAGATTCTACGATGACTAAGCAAATTTTTCTTCAAAGCGTAAAAGCTAGAGTAAAATCAGAACTTTGGTGGTTTTTTGACATTGTAACTTGAAAAATTCAGTTAAAAAGAAATATCCATGGATGGAAAACGATCTATAAAAATGGTACGTTGTTTTCCTGCATAATGCACGATTTTTTCTTATCAATGCGTCATGTTTCTAAGTCTATCAATGACGTAGAAGAAAACAAAGTATCATTTATAAATTCCTTGAAAAAAATATACATTTTTTATAATAATAATAAATTAAGAAACTAATTTTAATAATTATTACAAATCTTCTAAATGAAAAATAAAAATCATAAAATGTCTAAAAATGTAAAAAATAATTTTTATATTTCTTATTTTACATAATTAATGAAAAGATATAATTAATTTTTATACAGGATCCTCTGTCACCTGGACCTTGTCTAGACATTAGTGATGATGAACTAGTAACTATATCAGTAAGAGATTTAAACAGGCAATTGAAATTGCGTGGATTATCTAGAGAAGAAATAGTACGTATGAAACAACGTAGACGGACATTAAAAAACAGAGGGTATGCAGCTAGTTGTCGTATCAAAAGAATTGAGCAAAAAGATGAATTAGAATCAGAGAAAACACAAGAATATCGTGATATGGAAGCTATGCAGGAAGACAATAATCATATGAGAGAAGAAATTGAATCTTGGCATTCTAAATATCAAGCATTAAAAAAATTTGCATTAGAAAAGAAGATTCACATTCCACCTGAATTAGAAACTATATAAAATATTTATTTAAGTATTTTAAAATTTTGTATTAAAATAATAAAGATTGAACAATTATTTGCTAAATATATTATTTCTAAGAATTGATCAAAGTTGTTAAATGAAAATGAAATACAAAAACTATATAAAATATATAGTTAACTATAAAATTGTAAATGCTAGATTGCAATATTTGCAATCAATTACAATAATTGTAAATGATTTGTACTTATATTGAAAACTAAATACACTATATAGCATTTATTTATCTAATGTTTAATTTTTTCATAAATACTTTTAAATTATTAAGATTTTTTAATTCTGTTTTAAAATATAAAAAAATATATTTTTTTTAATTAGAAACATATATGAGGTATATTTACATAAATATATTATGTAATCTTTCTTTCAATATGTAATAAAAATATTAATCTGCTAACCACATATATGTTAATTGAATTTCCCAATAATCTATATTTTTGTTTATCTGTTATATATTCTGGAAATATGAATTCTTCAGGAAAACACATTAATCTACATATTTCTCTAGGTGTAAAATATCGTAACATTAATTTTTCCAGAATTTTTGATACTTCTAATGATTGTCTTTCATATTTATTTGCTTCTGAAAATGCTTCTTTAATTGTTTTTTCTGAATATGGACAATATACAGAACCTGTCCCTTCTACATAGTGGCTATAAGCTTTTGTAAAACAACAAGAACCATTGCTTTGTGATGTTCGTATGTCCATTAACCAAACTCTTTTTTCCAACAATTTTTTAGGAATTAAATATTGTGATCCTTCAACATGCTCTAGAATATTTTCCAATGTATAACAATTTTTATTTGTTTTAGAATCTTGAATATAACTTTTTTCCGCTAATAAATTATATTTACTTTTAGGAAGAATCTTTAAAATAGAATCTGATAATTCAAAATTTAATATAGATTGATCAAAACAAAATTCAAGATTGTTTTTTTTTGCTAATAAATAATATCTATATCTGGTATTTGGAATACCAAATTGACAAGGACTTAGAATTAATTCCTTATAATTAAATCCACTAGTATTTATGCATTTTAATAGAGCATTTCTCATTTCAGACTTTTCAAATCCTTTTACATTTTCAAGGAGAATATATTTTAATGTTTTTATTTGAGGAATCAATGAAAGAATATGAAGCAATGAAGAAGATCTGTTATCCAATATATCTTTTTGAAGTCCTATTCTTGTGTAAGGTTGACATGGAGGACTCATTAAAATAGTATCTATATTTAAATTATTTATCTCTTGTGCAGAAAGTGATTGAATATTACAATTCAAAAGTAATACATTTGGAAAATTATATTTGTATATACTATTTGCAACAGTATTTATATCAACTGCTGCAACAATGTCACCTTTAATACCACTTTCTGAAAATAAAATTTTTTGTGATAATTATATATTTTATTTAAAATATAATAATATTATTTATCATAATATTATTTATAATAATAAAAAATTTTGTTTAAAAATTTTTTTTGAGGTTAAATTTCTTCAATAATATAGAGGTTAAGTTTATTTAAAATATAGTGATACAATAATTTACCTTGAAGAGCATAATGCATTCCACCAATACCACTGTATAATTCTAATACTCTCATCATATTTAAATATTTATATTAATTTTTTCAATATAAGAAACTCTGATATCTCATTCCATGTCACTTCATAATATAATTATATTGATATTTCCTCTTTAT